TGACAGCTCTTGTGCTTCTCACACACATTTTGATAAACGGAACTAGGGCTTATTTTTCTGACGGGTTTACCTTGTATAATTGTATCATGGCTCAGCTCATTTTCCTGCTTTCATTTGTTGGATTTTGGAATCCTTCTTAGAGCTGCAAAAACATCGATGTTGGACAAAATAAATCGATGTATCGCCTTTTTAAAAACATCGATACTATCTATAGTGATATCGATGTTTTTGCATCTCTCCGAGAGACTACCTAATACTGTCTTCCCACACAGCGCATCTGTGAGGAACGTTTGGGATTTTTCGCAGATGCGAAACTCGTGTTCCCACACACCGTCAAAGCGCATCTGGCATCCGAACAGCTGATCGATCAGCTGTGGCTCATGAAAACGTAAACAAAGGCCGTCGAATTGGCTGTAGCAAAAATTAAAATGGAGAAGTTAGCAACTATTTTGGCTGTTGTACAGCAGCAAAATCTTAGATTGCGACAGGTTTTCATGTCGCTAAATGCAAATGACGACGACGACTTGGAAGCTCTCCTTGAAGTCCTTTACTCTACCAAAGAGCAAATGCCACGAAGCATGTGGATGGCGGTAGGTGCTACCAAAATTTAATTAAATACAGATTAAATATGATTTGTATATTAAATAGAAGCGATTCGGAACATTTTGGGAGAAGGATATACCGGAAAACAGCGATGAGTTCTTTAAAGAGAGCTTTCGGATGGAGAAGCGTACCTTTTCCTTTTTGGTGGATCGCCTAGAAGTTCTCCGAAAGAAGGATACCAACTGGCGAACTGCAATTCCTTTGGAGAAGAGGATTGCTATCGCCTTGTACACCTTGGGATCATCGTCGGAGTATCGTTCCATTGGAAGGCTATTCGGTGTGGCACAAAACACTGTGTGCAAAATCCTCCATGAATTTTGCCGGGCTGTCATTGCCGAGTTTGCCGGTGAATTCATGTCCCCTGACTATTTAACTCTCGAAAAAGTTGAGGAGTGTGTCAGGGGCTTTGATCAATGTCTAGGAGCAATTGGTAATAAATTAATTCATTAATCTGTTCACGTACATATATAAAATATATATGTACACTGCGCGTCACCAGATTAGCGCCCCCCTTGGTGTTCGCGTTTAAAGTGAAATATTATCAAAACTATTAAAGATTGAACTGTACAATTATTATCCAATATAATTCGATTAATTCTCTAAATAAAAACATATATTAGAAGGCAGTTGGTATTTGCATAGAATTGTATTAAATTAAAAACTAAAGTAACAGGTTTATTTGGAAGAAAAAACTGCGTCATCAGATTAGCGCCACCTACATTAACTTAACTTTTTTGATGAAGTTCTTACAAAATACTATCTTTAACAATTTTATGATTAAGTTTAAGCATTTTTAAGGAAATTTAATAATGGGTTGTCCCTCCCTTGTTTACAAGGACTTCACAAACTCGATTGGGGAGAGAGTCATACATGTTTTTGAGATATTCCAACGTTATTGTTGTCCAGGCCTGTTTTATACTGTGAATTAAATCCTCCTTGGTAGCATATTGCTTGCCAGCCTCGTACACCTTACTAGCTAACCATCCCAAGACGTTTTCTATTATGTTCAGGTCTGGGGAGTATGGGGGGCCACTCCAGGACACTGACATTTTCCTTTTGAATCCATGCTTTTACGGTCGTGGCTGTGTGGATTGGGGCATTGTCGTGCTGAAAATGCCATTTGAGATTTCCAAATAAGTTTTTAAAAACGGGAAATGCAGTTTTTAGAACGCAATTGTAATTTTCCGCGTTCATCTTTGGGGTTAAAACTGCAGTTCGCAGTTGCCCTAAGAGGATATGGCTCCCCATACCATTACTCCTCCAACCCGGCTATGTAAGCGATCCAGATGATGCTCTTCCTTGCGTAAATCCTGGAAATAGTAATTATATCCGTCAGGATCCTCAGGTTAAATTTTTTTTCGTCTGAAAATACGACGTTATGCCACTCATTGGACCATGTCATATGCGTTCGAGCAAACTTTAGGCGGATTTCTTTTCGCACTTGGTTAAGAGGTGGCTTTTTTTTCAGTTTTAGCCTCTTTAAATGGTCGGCATTCTTGATCACCCTTAAAACAGTCGATTTGCTTCCCTTAACACCAGTTTTTTCTATTATTTTGGCGGTCGAGTCGTGGGAGTTGGGCGCCTCTCGGAGTATAGCTCTGCGATCTGCTGAACTAACAACACTGTTATTACCTCCTTTGTAATTTTTTCCATAGCTTTCCTTATTTTAAAGAAAATGTGCAATGGTTTTGCGATGTCTTCCCGATTTTTCGGCGATTTTGTGAAGAGAAAGTCCACATTCATTGAACGCTTCGATTTTCGATTTTTCCTCCGAAGACAAGATTGTTCCTCTGCCCATATTGTATGTCAAATGGAAGAAAAATGTTTAATTTAACAGCAAAAAAAAAATGGTTGCTGTGCTCACCAAGTTAAGAAAGATATTTAAATTTATATTTTGAGGGCGCTAATCTGATGACGCTGTTTTTTCTTCCAAATAAACCTGTTTCTTTAGTTTTTAATTTAATACAATTCTATGCAAATACCAACTGCCTTCTAATATATGTTTTTATTTAGAGAATTAATCGAATTATATTGGATAATAATTGTACAGTTCAATCTTTAATAGTTTTGATAATATTTCACTTCAAACGCGAACACCAAGGGGGCGCTAATCTGGTGACGCGCAGTGTATATCTATATTCTAGATGGTTGTCATATCGAAATAAAACCATCGGCAGCAGATGCAGTCGATCATCACAACTATAAAGGTTGGTACTCAATAGTACTATTCGCTCTTGTGGATTACAGGCAAGTTACCTGCTCTTTAGATGTTTTATAATCTGCTAATTGTATTAAATTGTATATTAACTATAGGTACAGATTCACCTACGTAAACATCGGCTCTGCAGGGCGTTGCAACGACTCGACTATTTTTCAAAAGTCTAGCCTTGCAAGGAAATTGGGGTCGTCTACATTAATTTGGGAAAAATCAAAGGAAATTTGTGGCGTACAAGTTCCGCTGCTGCTTATTGGAGACTCGGCTTTCCGATTTTCCCAAACGCTGATGAAACCATACCCATTTTCGACGACCGCGAGCATAGAAGAGCGCACATTTAATTACAATTTGTCCAAAGCTAGACGAGTTGTTGAAAATGCTTTTGGGCATTTAAAGGCCAGGTTTCGATTTGTTGGAAAGGGACTTGACAGCCACTACAAAAACAATAATGCAATTGTTCTAACCTGTTGTATTTTGCATAACATTTTAAATGAGCACAACAGCGTTATTAATGATAATTGGCAACTGGCTGCCAGTGACCTTCGAGAACAACCCAACCGAACGAATATGTCTGCAGATTTTAGCCAACCTGCTGAAAAAGTTAGAGCAGCAATTGCTCAATACTGCCTTAATGGTAACAAAAATATGTAAATAAATTATGGTTTTATTAATATTTATTTGGATTTTTTATTAATTATTCTATAATGTTTTTTACTGCTTGGACTCCCTCAGAAATTGGAGAAGTTCCGACTGGAACTTCTCCTGGCTGTCCGCCATTCTTTGCAGAATTTCCGTTTGCGTTTTCTGCTCCTCCAGCCTCTCTCGAGCAATCTCGACCAGCTCGCTTTTCTGGTCTACTTTCGCTCTTTTTGCTGGAGGCAAACTGCCGGAACGTCGACTTCCGCTCATACTTGTCTCCTGCACGTCCTCCAGATATTCCTCCGAAAAGTACTGCGTCGTATCTGCAATAAAAATATGTTAATTATTGAATGTACATAAGAACTATCTGGGAGGGAACATACTCTCGTTGTCCACCGTATCCTGCTCCAAGTTATGGACATGGAACGAGCCGAGGAACGCTTGCAGCGCCTCAAAATGCTGCCAGGCAGATGGAGCTCCACCGCTTGGCCCCATTTTGTCTTTTTCCTGTCTGCAAATAAGAATAATTTAGCGGAATTAATTAATCCAATATATTCTGGTACTCATATTTACTTGCATTTCCTTGTCAGGTTCTCCAGCTTCGTCTTAATGTCCTTCCAAGATACATCATACCCAGCCTCCATCAAGGTCTGGGCCATCTCCATATACACATGGCTATTTTTTCGCGGTCCCCGCAAGTGCTCAATATTTTCCTGCCATACATCTATGAGCAGGCACTCCATATGGAGGGTCCATCTCAGCTTCCCACCGGCGGTTCTAGAATCATCTGCAAAATTAAAAACAATTATCAATATTAAAATGTAAACAACCTGTTAATATACAACCTTTTGCATTGGCGCCTTCCATTTTTCATTTGTTCCTCGCAAGTTTGTTTACATTTTCGTAGTGAATGGTCAAATTAAGAAGAAGAATCAGAGTTGCACCGAAGAACTATCGCCTAACTATCGCCAAACAAACGGTCGTTACATTTAGACGCGCTTTGATGCAGGGCCAATTGAGAAAAATCGGAACGGCAAAACCTTATGGACCGTTTGTTCAACGGATGCGCTTTGACGGTGTGTGGGAAGACCCTATAAAGAGAAGACGTATAGAAACAACATTGTATACCTAACCTAGAGAGCTTTAACGAGAGAAGAAGTGTTCAATAAAGTTTAACAAAAATTGTAGTTTTACAAAGCAACTCTTTTTCTATAATTTTTGTTTCCTTTACCTATACACGGCTTTGAAAGCAATACTCTTTGAAGAAAATATTTTGTTTTCGTTAATGCTCGTTTTCTTTACCTATGAATAACAAACACGTGTAGGGGTAACTTGAGTGTGGTTACCAACATCCAATAAATAAATATACCTATTATATTTTGGGCTTTTGGTGGGGCTTTTACTTTTTTGGTGCTGCTTACCTTCCAAAAAAAAAATAGTTATACGAAGATATCAAACTAATGAGTAAAAAGCCTATATTAAACAATATTTTGTTGTTTTTATTATATCACTGTATAGTAAGTTCACTTTCTTTTTTTTGTAGGTTATAAACGCAAAAACATTATTGAACGAAACAAAAAATCGTTCAATTGTTCAAAAAATTATTTTACAAATGAATTGTAAAATAGGAGGATCCCTATGGACGGTTAAAATTCCCTTTAAAAATGTAATGATTTGCGGAATTGACTCTTATCATGACCCATCTAATCAGGGGAGTTCTGTTGCCGGTAAGATATGCATTAATTTCACCTATGTACTAACAATTATATGACAGTTCTGTCCAGCTAAAACAAAATTTGTACAACTTTTTCTTATAAAATATGCAAACATGTTTATTTATACGTCAAACAACCAATTGAACGGCTATAAAACGTTAAGACCGGTAGGATTACCAAACATAACATGGAAAATAAATGTAATTAAAAATTTTTGAAGTACTCACGTTCTTTGACGCAACCTTAATCAAAGGTCTCCGTTGTGCCTTTTCTTCATCCTTTGTCTTGTCATCGAGTTTACCAACGACGCCGCTAGCTGTCATATCCTTTATATAATATTTCTCTGGTTTGGCCTATTCTGGAATTTTGTCTGGCTTCCTCCTGGAGGCATCTTCTAGCGATGCCAGAGCCTAGGTATCCCATTCTTGCCCTCGTTAGGGCTAGACATTTGCAAATGAGATTCTCCAAGATTTCGGTTGCCTCGGATTCATCACATTTCCGGCATTTGGCGTTGTCGGTAATACCCAGCTTGACTGCATGTGCAACAGACAGGCAGAACACCCACTAACATTCTGCAGTCCTTCCGCGGAAGATGCAGCACATGATTTTTGCTATTCTGCAGGTTGTGGAATTACTCCTACAGCCCGTCTCTCCAGCTAGTTTGGAGCGTTCTAAGGGAGACAGACACGTTTTCTGATCTTTCACTCGCCAGTCCGACGCCTTCATTTGCAAGTTCATCCGTGGTCTCGTTACCGTCTATGACTTGGTGGCTGGGAACCCAGTATATCCTCACTGACTTAGTCGTGCTTAGGCTATCTAGTGACTCCCTGCTTGCCAGTACATTTTTGGAACTGACCGCTGATGATTGCATGGATCTTATCGCCGCTAGACTGTCTATGAACAAATTAACTGCCTCATGTGGACGGTTTATGCTCTGCGAGAGCTCTATACATCCTGCAGCCGTCGGTGTATATATTGAGGTATTGAGCATGATCCTGGTCTGACTTCCAGTCATTTGGTCCTATGAATACTGTTGTGTTTACGTCCTGGCACGTTCTGGGTATCATGTAGTCAGATGTACTGCTCATGTCTCGACCAATTGACTAGTTTCCTGATGCAACCAGATGTTGTGCCGCCTTTCCTGCTGTCAGTTGCGCTTGGATATCTATGGGATATATACCGATTATGGTTTCGAGTGCTTTGGTGGGGGTTGACCTCGGCGCCCCTGATATGCAGAGCAGTGCCTGCCGCTGGGTTCTCTCCATAAGCTTATTATACGTTTTCTTCTCCATGGCTTGCCACCACAATAAGACTCCATACAGCAGAGTCGGACGCACCACCGATATGTAGACCCAATGCATTAGAGCGGGTGAGAGGCCCCATGTCCTGCTAAGTATCTTCTTGGATGCATATAGCGCTATGGTGGAATTATATATCGCACCGCACATGCGTTTTTGTCAAATTTTGCAACTGACGAAACTTTACCGAAGTTGTGAAATTCATTGTCAATTTTGCACATACATGCCGATGTTAACTAGTGCTGGAACAAACATCGATGTTTATTTGATACAATCGATGTTTCTTAAAAATCGTCCAACATTGATGTTCACTTGTTAAGGGGGTTTCCTGAATTAGGAGGCAAAACAAATCGATTTTTTTTTATTGCTTAAATCGATAGATAAACTATCTAAGAATATACCACAAAAATTTCAGAAGCCAATTCGAAGTATTTTCGAAGATACAGAGATGAAAGCAAAGGAGCGCCGGGTAGGTTTGCAGTAGAGGTCTGCATGGCCGCATTCAAGCATAAGCTTCACTGAGTACTTCTGAATGTTGTACTCATTTTTGAGTACAACGCATTCAGCTGATCGAGTTCGCATCTCATTCTGTACCCAATTCTGCGAAATTTTGAGTATTCATAACGCATTGAATTGAGTGAATGCGTGTGCAAAACATAATGAATGAATGAAGGCAGCAAAGAATTCTTAGAATACTCAGAATACAACGACTGCGCAGTCATATTATTATTATAATATTATAATATATATAAGTACATATGTAAGTAAGTTATAATATAAATAAACAAATACAAACACTAAAGAAAAAAATTTAAATTAATGAAGTCAATTATATGTCATCAAATTATGTTTCCCACTGGAAGCGCACGTAAGCGAATACTCATTCTCTGTATTCGGCTCTGTCGGCATTCAATTCGCTCTCCCTATGTGTGAGTGTGTAGTTGTAAGTACAACGACGGCGCACGCATTCACTCAAATTCAGTGGAATTCGCAGCCGAATTCATTCAATTCACTGAGATATGAATGTCTCATATGCCGTTTTGAATTAATTCATGCAGACCTCTAGTTTGCAGGCGCTTGGCGAACTTTGAGGCCCGTTTTCTCCACTTTTAATTTTTACGATTCTTTCGAATTGGCGGGAAAGATAACAAAAAAACTTATTGACCGATTGAAACGAATAAAGGCTTATTCTCTTTAGAATTAAATTCTCTTCTAAATGAACTAAAACGGTTGTTGAAAACCGCTTTTTATATTTTTTACAGCATGTTAAAGTCAATATTTTATCCCGAAAAATGCAATATTGATTTTAACATGCTGTAAAAAATATAAAAAGCGGTTTTCAACAACCGTTTTAGTTCATTTAGAAGAGAATTTAATTCTAAAGAGAATAAGCCTTTATTCGTTTCAATCGGTCAATAAGTTTTTTTGTTATCTTTCCCGCCAATTCGAAAGAATCGTAAAAATGAAAAGTGAGAAAACGGGCCTCAAAGTTCGCCAAAGCGCCTGCAAACCTACCCGGCGCTTCTTTGCTTTCATCTCTGTATCTTCGAAAATACTTCGAATTGGCTTCTGAAATTTTTGTGGTATATTCTTAGATAGTTTATCTATCGATTTAAGCAATAAAAAAAAATCGATTTTTTTTGCCTTCTAATTCAGGAAACCCCCTTAAACATCGAATATACTTGAAAACCGATCAAGAAGGCAGAATTTGTAAGTTTCTATGTATTTAAAAAAGTGTTTGATATAGTAAACTAAAGTTAACATTGTTAACCGTTACATTTGCGTTTAATTGTGAAATAGACACTTAAAGGTGCGTTTGGGATAGTTCACATAAGCGATCGCTTTAAAATTTATAAAATTATGGAAGTTTGAAAATTACTGGGACGTATTGTCCCAGTAGGCATACTGGTTGGTCGACAGTAGTCTCCCTACATCGTTCATTATGTATAAGTCCAACAGTTTTTCTAGCGTTTTGAGCATAAATTTTGTGAGGCTTATCGGTCTGTAATCCTTGGGGCTCACATGGCTGCACTTTTCTGCTTTGGGCAGAAAGACAATTTGAGAGGTCCTCCATTGAACAGGGATATAACCCGAACTTAGGCAAGCCGTATATATTGCGTAAAGCCATGGGGTGATCACTTCTTTGGTCACCTGTAACATGGCTGGGAATATTCCATTTAGTCCCGGTGCGACAGTTATAAGTATGGTTTTTTATTTTTGTGTTATAATTTACCCTGAAGATGGTTGACGATGTACAACCGAAATATAAAAAATAAAAATTGTTTTATTTTTATTTTTTATTTTATGTTTACCACCACCCCCTCCCCGTCGAGCCGGCAAAAAAAACACGTTTAAAGTAAATATAAACATATTTAAACATATATAAAGAGTCAAAATAAAACCAAAACAAGGTAAAAAAAATCAGTTTTCAAAATGTCTTTAAATTAAAACGTCTTGACCAAGAACTTGACTTCGTGGATTCGCTATAGGACTCTTAAATATTTCCACAAAATGGTTATAACTTAAGAACCAATATATTTGTTTGAAAAACTAACATGTGCTTAATCAGCTAGAACCAATAATTGTATATGCTCACGATATAAATCACTGCGATTCAATAGACAATTTTTCAAAACAAGAAAAGAAAAGAAGAAGAAAATTAAAACCGAAATTTTTCCAATAATTCGTTCGATTTTCATAAAATTAAAATCGAAATTCTGAAATAATAAGAAAAAGCCATATCTTAAAAAATGTGAAAACATGTTAAACAAGAGAGGAAGCTAATTTCGGCACGCCGAAGTTTGTATAGCTTTGCAGCTATATGATATATTTGTCCTATTTTTATGAAATTTATACAAAAATTCTAAAATAATAAAAAAAACTCATATCTCAGAGTAGATGAAAATACGTTGAAAAACAACGAAGTTACAATTTTGTTCCTATTAATTTCCCGACTGTTCCTATGGAAGCTATAAGATATAGTCGTCCGATTTTTATAAAATTAAAACTTAAATTCTGAAATAAAGCAAAATAGCCATATCTCAAAAATGGTGCTAAAATGTTGTTATACGCATTATTAAGATGACAACTTTCTTTTAAACTTTAAAAAATATATATAAACTTAAATACATATTTGTATATTTCAGCTTTTGTGGCGTCTATGAATTCAACGTACTCACAATGGTACAGCAGAGCTATTGTACAAACCAGAGGGGAAGAAATTGTTAATGGGTTATCTGCCTCTTTTGAAGACGCTCTTAAATTATACGAAAAACGAAATGGCTATCTACCAGAGAGTGTTGTTATTTACAGGTAATTCATTTGAAATATTAGGATTTAACCCTGTACAAATAATAATTCAAATCATTAACATGGTGAAACTTAAAATCAGAGTATAGCTTGTATTTCCATTTTATACTTTTTTCATCCAATAATAATAATTATTATTCAACAAGAAAGGAAGTTTTGATAAAAAAAAATAAAAAGATTCATTGATATAAAATAACTATGTTTTATTCTAAAAATAGAAAAGTAATATCAAAATTGCATTTCATTTACCTATACTTATTATATTTACAGTTTGACAGTTCACGTTTTACATTCGCAGCTTTACATTTTCTCTTCATATACCGATCGTTTCGATGGCTACTGTATGATATTGTAATTTGATTTTCATAAAATTAAAACCGAAATTCTGAAAAAATAAAAAAAGCTCACATCTCAGAGTAGATGAAAATACTTTAAAAAACAAGAAAGGAAGCTAACTTTGGCACGCCGAAGTTTGTATACCCTTGCAGATTGGTTTCGATGTTTATATTATAGATTTAAATGCTGAAAACACTCACAAAACAGAGTTTCATTACATTTTACCGATACTTATTATGTTTACAGTTTGACAGTTACAGTTTTACATTCCCAGTTTTACATTTTCTCTACATCTACCGATCGGTTTATATGGCAGCTATATGATATAGTTGTCCGATTTTTATGAAATTTATACCATAATTCTAGAATAATAAAAAAAGATTATATCTCAGAGTAGATAAACATACGTTGAAAAACAACGAAACTATAATTTTTTTCCTATTTATTTCTCGACCGTTCCTATGGCAGCTATATCATATAATCGTCCGATTTTGATAAAATTTTTACCAAAATTCTGAAATAATATAGAATGGCCATATCTAAAAAATGGTGCAAAAATGTTGAAAAACAGCAAAGTTATAAATTTTTTTCTACAAACATATCGAACATTTGTATGGCAGCTATATGATATAGTCGTCCGATCCGGCCCGTTCCGACATATATAGCAGTGAGAGCATATAGAAGACTATATGCAAAGTTTCATTCAGATAGCTTTAAAACTAAGGGACTATTTTGCGTAGAAACGGACAGACGGACAGACGGACGGACGGACAGACGGACAGACGGACATGGCTAGATCGACTCGGCTGTTGATACTGATCAAGAATATATATACTTTATAGGGTCGGAAAGGTCTCCTTCACTGCGTTGCAAACTTCTGACTGAAATTATAATACCCTGCAAGGGTATAACAGCGAAGTAATAATATTTTTCTCTTAATTTCCCAATTGTTTTTATGGCAGCTATAAGATATAGTCGTCCGATTTTCATAAAATAAAAACTGAAATGCTGAAATAATATAAAATTGCCATATCTCAAAAAAGATGAAAACGTGTTTAAAAACAAGTTATACAGGCCTGTTCTAGTTTCCACTTCCGCAAGATCTACTCGGATTCGGATTTTCCTCTGTTACATCTCCGTTAACATCCCAGCGAAACCGCTCGGAAGCTTTCCGACTGTACTTTGGCTAGCAGATTCAGATTCGCAAAACCAGAAATTAATTATTTAAAAATACAATGCGATCATTTAAATGGCAAATATTAATTGTATTTCATTCTTTGAGGTTTTAGGAACATTATTGCATAATTGAATTACCTAAAGCTAATATACTTGAGTTTTATACCCGTCCGTCCGTCTGTCCGTTTCTACGCAAACGAGGACCTCAGTTTTAAGGGGGTCTTCTCATTCAAAACCCGTTTTTGGACCCTTTTTAAAAAAAATCTTATTTGAAAACGCAAAGAATAATTGAAAACTTTTTTATTTATTGTATTTAAAAATGTTCAAAGTAAATAAAAAAATTGTATCTATCATTTAAAGTAAAAACCATGACCATTGGTTTTATGGTTTTTGTGTAATATTACCTGAAAGTCGACAATTTTACCCATTTTTTTTTTTGGTAAAAACGAAAAAAAGTTCAACTTTGAATGCTCATATCTTCTACAAAAAAATCTTAAAATCTTAGATTTTATTGCAGGTTCTTAATCCTTGGGAAATTTTCTGTCGAATAAGTATGGTTAAAATCGTTTTTGCGAACATGACTTTTTCGATTTTTGCAACGCTAATTGTTCGAGAGGTGCTACTGTGCGTCGTCCAATTTTCCCGGCTTTGGAACGAGTACAAGCCTTTGCTGCTTCCAGGCTGTAGGAAAAGTCCGTCCGACGATGCAATTGTTGTACACCTCCGCAAACAACTTTGGGTAAGACTTCACTATCGCAAGCACCGCTGCGCTGCACTATGGGGTTTTTGACCAGTTTTTGTGGCATTAATTAATAACTCGATCAGTTTTGAAGATATCGACATGAAACTTTACCAATCATCATTATTTGTCCCTAGGCACATATAGTATGAAAATCGTTCGGATCAGGAATCTATATCCTATAGCTCCCATAGGAACGATCGGGTAAAAATAAAGATAAATTAATGAAATTTAAGGAGCTTATATTTGTTGCTATTTTAACACGATATAGCAATTTTGAACAAAATCGGACAACGCTTTCCCTAGGAACCAAAAAAAACCAAAATACCGGAAATCAGTGTTTTTCCATACAAATAGCTACCAAATTGGCTCTGAAAACAGTGAGGTTATCTGAGAAAAATTCAAATTGCAACAAAAGTGCGGAAAAGTGCACGATAAGACTAACTGCTTTTTGCTCAGAATTGACAACGCTACATCATACACTTGGACGCATTGAAAACTAATGCGAACTTCTATTTCAAAACTCTTCCCAAAGTTGAAATTTGTTTCTCAAAATTCAGCTTAAGGTGCATTTATAAAATGACAAAATGTCAGTATAAACACTCACAATTTAAACAATTAATACCTTTAACATGTAGTTAAAACTTGTGAAATCAGTGTCCATTAGTTTTTTCCTTTGCAAATTGTGTCTTACACGAATAGTTTAATTTCAAAGATCACTTCGTAAAAATTACAAACTTAGCAGACGCGCTTTCGGATGCAACAGCTGACTTTACAGCTCTGTTGCTAACATATGCTGTTAAGTATTAACATTTTGAGTATGAGGCATAACAGTTCGATGTTTTGTTAATACAATCCCACTATTTTTTTTTAAATATAAGAACTTTTAAAAAATGATTAAATGCCACAAAAAGTGGTCAAAAACCCCATAGTGCGCTGGTGTGTGTGTGTGTGTCTGCTGGTGATGTGAGAACGGGGGGGAAAAGGCGAACAAAAGAACTATCGCTAGGCTTATTATTATTTCTAAACTTACATATTTAACTTAAATCTACTGGCTAGGCTTAAATATTAATTAAGTAGTAAGTAGGTAATAGTGCTTGGCGAGTGTTTTGTTTTGGTTTGATTTTGTTCTCGGCCGGGCTATTTTATTTTTTGATTTTATTTCGGTGCCGTTGGTTTGTCGTTGGTGGCTGCTGTTTGTTGTTGTTCGGCTGTTGTTCGGCTGTTGTTGGTGCCGTTGGTTTTGTTGTTGGTGGCTGGTGATCCGTTGGCGTTTCGACTGTTGTTAGTGTCCTCTATATGTGAGGGGTCAATCGACTCCTCACACAACTATACACCAGATCGTTTATGACCGCTAAATCTCCTTCTTTTATAATTTTTTTTTACTCAATGGCATGCAGCTCCGCTCCCAGACATTTCAGTTATTGGCCTCTCCGCCTACCGTTAAGCGTAATCGCAAACGATATAAAAAAATATAACAAGTGCGAAAGAGCCCCTTTTCAAAATCTTCCAAATTATTATTTTTTTCGCACCTGTTCTGGTCTGTTTTTTAATGAAAAAAAAACTACTTGACCTATCCAAAAGATTATAGTTTATGTGATGCTTGCATGTATGCTGAATATATTCTTTAAATTTCACGACAATAGTTAAAGAAGTCGTTTCGAGAAATCGTGTTGAGCAGTTGAAAAAACGTGGTTTCGAAAAAAAACCAAAAAGAAATAATCATTGCAGGAGTAAGCTGCTCTGAAGAGCATTTCTTGTCAGTGATGTAAACCTTTTAAAGTTTAAACACATAGTTATGTTAAGGAAGCGATATAAGCAAAAGTAAAATTTTAAATTTTTGGAAACCACATGGGTCAACCACCTTAACATTAACAATTTATTCGTTTGCTTGTCCGTCAGTTCTTGAGTTATCTTAAGTGGCGTAAAAGATTAATTCGGTTCAAAACGCTACACTTAAAAAAAATTGTAGCAATAAAGCTTAAAAAATTAATTTAATTTAGAACATTTTTTACAGGTAATGGAGATATTTTGGTTGGTTCCCCGGAAAACTAGCCAATGTTTCTTTAGTTTGAACAAAGAAGGTAAATCAACCGGGGATGGGATATCAGCCCAAATGTCGGTGAAAGTCGTGACTGCTACCACCGGTGAGCACAGAGGGGAACAATCCTCTCTGCGTGTCGCCAGCAGTCACACCTCTAGCATGACGGGAGCAGGTCATGCTAGTTGTATAGATACTGTGACAAAAACAGCTCAGAGCAAATTATACCACTCAGGTGCCGTCGCCGAATCGTCTCCAGAATCAGACATCAGTTCCCTAAGCGGTCAAGCGAGGGTATGCGAAGACGCTGTATAAGGCTGCTATCAAGGTCCAAAGCCGGCTTCAGGACAAAGCTAACCTCTTCCAAGAGGAGAGGGAGAGTTCAGGATATACACTATGCAAAACGTCCTTAAATGTCATAACACAAGGAACATTGGTTCCGCTTGTATGGAGGACATTGGACCTTCGTCGAGTGCAGACGTGCTTACGGACGATCGCTACGCGGACAGTAATATATAAACTCTAAAATACGTACAGATAGTTAGGCCAAGCCCTACAGTACTTATGACATACGGACGCAAGTGCGTGAGACGTGTTTTTGAGCTGCAAAATTCATCTATGTGGTGCCACGCGAAGCAAGCTCAAGAAAATGAGCGGCGATCAAAAGAATGAGCGTAAAAGCTTTGTTGTTGCTCAGTTGTTTCGCGTATA